AGTTTTATGTCTTATTTGATTACTTCATTAATTGTTTAATTTCCTGTGTTAGTACATTTGGATCGTTTGTGTCTATGTTTTTCCCGCTCATTATGACAATATTTTTCATTCTTATGTATCGAAACTTTAACATATTTTATAAATAAATAAATTTATTTCCAACAGGAAATACATCACCCAATTACACGAAAAATTATTAACTTAACTCTGTGTAATAAAGTGTGGCAGATATGCTTACAAAAAAATAAATTAAACAAACTATATATAGGATCCTAATATTATAACCAAATTACTACTTAATAAAAGTTAAAAATGAAAAATAAACATGTATGTACCTACCTAAACTCGCAACAATGACTGTTTTATCACATTAAATGAATCTGCATTAATGTCGCAGAACAATGAAATTTTGTTAAACGATTCTGACATTAACTGGAGACCTACGTAAAATATTAGTTTTGAAAGAAAAAGTATAAAACGTCAAATTTTGTCTTGAATTAATACGGGGAACAATAAAATTAAGCTTATTTAACAAAAACGGACAATCAGTTTTATTGTTGACTAAGTTATACAGAAACTTCACTATTAAGAGGTTACGTCGAATTTGTAAACTAATGAAGTTGAACCGATTTAATAATAATTGAGAGTGGTCATAACCTCGTTCAGGGTAAACTCCACCTAAGCGAAAACATAAAAATTTTAGGAATTTACCTTGTACTGATTCTAGTTTTTTATATATATATGTCGTATTGCGGATACCATATAATTGCCCCATATTCAAGACCTGACCTGACTAAAACATAGTATAAATTAATTAAAGTTTCTATGTTACAAAAATCATTGCAGTTTCTGTATAAAAAGGCATACATCTTATAAGCTTTTCTCGTTATATTATTAATATGTTCTGAAAAACTAAATTTGGTATCAAAGATTATACACAGATCTTTTGAACTCTCTTTACGTTTTAATACAGTTGCGTTGATATTATAACCAAAGAATAAAGGTTCCACTTTTCTTGTATATGAGACGACGAAGCATTTGTCTTTATTAAGTGATAACCGATTTTGACTGCACCAATCAAACACGACATCGATGTTATATTGCAGTTTCAAGTAATCATCTGTAGTATTAACTTCTAAAAATAATTTGAGATCGTCAGCAAATAATAGTTTTTCACAAGTAATATTTTCAACAATATCGTTAATGAACAGCAGAAATAACAGCGGTCCTAGATTAGATCCTTGTGGTACTCCAGACGTAGATGTAATGGTTTTTGAAAAAAAGTTTTGATATCTAACTACTTGCTCCGGAGCAGTGAGATAGGAGAGAAACAGTTAACACAGGGATTCAGAAAAACCAAACCTGCGGAGTTTATCTAGTAATACAAAGTGATCGATTTGATCAAAGGCCTTACAAAAGTCAGTGTAAATTGTATCTACTTGACCTCTTCTATCGATAGAATCAGAAACGTATTGTGAAAAGCAAGCCAAATTAGTTATGGTAGACCTTTTCTCAACGAAACCATGTAACATTTTAAGGACGAAAAAAGCTGTTTGTATAGCAAAGTCTCAAATACTTTCGCAAAATTACTCAAAAGACTAATAATTATTATATCACCTGATTTGAATATGGGGCTTACCAATGCTTTTTTCCATTGTTTGGGCATCTGATTTTGTTTTAAGATAAAGTTGAACAACTTACAGAGAGGACTAGCCAAGACACCTGCACAATCCTTTAGTAAAAAACAAGGAACGCCATCCGGTCCTGTAGTAAAAGTGTGTTTACAATTCTTCAAGACAAGAAATACATCATTTTGAGACATATGGCTTGCAGAGACAAATAGCTGCGGTGCAACCTCAAGAAAATTATTAAAATTGTACTGTGAGTCATGTTTTATATATACACTGCCAAAATATTGAGCGAAAGCATCCACAATGGCCTTAGGAGAAGACAGTTCGCAGTCATTCAAATTCATCACACCTGCTATTCGAGTACACTTTTTTTGTTTTGAATAAATGTCCAGAACGATTTCGGTTCACTTGAAATATTATTCTCTAATTTCTGAATATATCTTTTATAAGACAGGCTAATAAGTTTTTTACACCGTAGGCGATGAAACTTGAACAAGTGAAAGTTGTAATCCGTTCTATGCTTCTTATACAATTTGAGAACTTTTATTTTGTTGCGTATGCTATTTATAGTTTCATTATCAAACCAGGGCGGATATTTATTACGGGAATAGTTTTTCGGTTTATATTTCGGCACTGCAATGCCAAAAATCTGATTTAGTTTTTCGTAAAAGAGTGTACAAGCTTGGTCCACGTCTAAATTACCTTGTAGAAAATTCCAATTTGTGAATTTGTTGACAAGAGCGTTTCGTATAGTAATGGAAAATTTGCTCTTTTAAAGTTATAACGTTCAAGTTCGTCGTTCATAGGAAATTGACGTTGGTGTGAGCTTGAAGTCCTTAGAGTTATACATAAGGGAGGATGGTGAGAATCTTCATCTACCAGAAGTAGGTCAGACGCCTCAACTTGACAATGAACATTTGAGAAGACCAAGTCCAAGATATGATTATGAGTATTGAGTATTTCGTTGTATTGATTTAGGTTACAAAATTCTTTAAAATTATTTAAAGTGGTAGTAAATTGATTTGAGACACCAGGAATATATTCATGGACATTAAAATCACCTGTTATAATTATATCATTATTATTTAGAAAATCTAATGTACTTAGCGTGTCAAAAAATAGTTCAAATTCTTGAATCGAAGTATGTGGAGGAATATAAATGACAAGAATAATTATATTTGGTGTATGATTTAGTTTTACACCTACTACGTCAATACTAGGTACAACATTGTAAACTGAAGATAGATTTAAAAGTGATGTTTTAAATGTGTTCCTAATGCTTACGACAACACCACCCCCTCGAGTTACATTAAGCGCTTGAATGTTGCGATCTTTTCTATATACTACAAAGTCATGTGGAAAATATCCACTACTCTCTATATCGTTGGTGAACCAGGTTTCTGAAAGGATTATGATGTAGTTGTCGAGATTACAAATATTACTATAGAATTCAATAGCCTTAGATCTTAACACCCTGACATTTTGATAAAAACAACGCAACATAGCACTGTGACTGGGTGAGGCGGTTAGTTTAAAGATACTATGGTGGGAGTTCCGTTAACGTATCGGATTTTCAGTTTGTCCTCTCCGTTAGCGATTCGAGCATTAAGGTGTTGCTTAACTAGTTTGTAAGATTCTACTTGTTTGGGAGTCCGGTCTTAAGCAATAGAGATATTTTTATAATCCTGACTACGTCTTAAAGCTTTTGCATTATGAATAAATTTGCTTACATCCGCTTCGTCGTTTAAGTCAATCTTAATTGGTCTAGATTTAGAGTTTGTTGGAACTAAGCGGCCTAAACGATAAATTTTAATGTATTATCACAATTTTTATTTTATCACAATTCTTCATTCTTTCTTACTGCAACTACTGAGGAAGAGATTGAATCACTTATTTGGAAAACCGCAAAAGTAGTGCCCATATAGAAAAATAACAATGATTTTGATTTCGTTAACTTCAGACCAATTTCTGTATTGTCTCCTATCAAAAATAATGGAACTTGCTTTTAAAAGTAGACTGATATGAATGTAAATGCCCATGGTATGTTTATGGGAGAAGGTGATGAATGATGATATAAGTGTTGCAGTGAGCTACGACACACTTGAAGAAGTCATAGGAAATATCATAAATTCTATACAACAAGGTTTCACATGGTACAGCAACAACAAATTAAAAATGAACACTACTAAAACTTTAAAATGACAGGAATAAGTAAAAACGATGTTGATTGTCTCTGAGAAAGGCGAATAATGAAAAATGACTGGAACTGTAGGTATAGGATTAACGTGAACATGGACATGAATAGTGAATTAAATAACGCAGTATTTCTGGTATCTAGTGGAACCACTCACTCTATAATATTATTTTGTTATAATCGAATAAATGTTGAAAAATATTTAGAATAGCTAAATGTAGAGCATTTAGGATGTATTTGTAGGCAGAAACTTAATAGGAAAACACCGTATATTTTTTCTAAAAACGATTTTTTTTAGTATCGTGATTAATTATTTTTTCTTGTGTGAAAAACTTTGACACAGTTAAAAACTTTATAACTCCAGTGGTTAAAATTACGCAAAATTGTTTTGGTTGTGAAGTTATTTGAGCGTGCTTTTTATTTTAGCAAAATTTGAACCAAACCCAACTTTTTCGTGCGGTAAAGTTTTCCGAGTATTCTTAAAATAAGTCGGTAACGCCATCCATCTGCTATCTTTGTTCTAAGTTCAATTACAGGGTGCTCAAAACCTGCTAAACTATAGTATGTTCGCCTATCTGAAGCTAGTTCTTTCTAGGTCGTTTGATTTATCGGAGCTTATTCTGGTCGAATGTCTGTTTAAATGACTTGTTTAATCTAATCCTAGCCCAACGGCACTGTTAAACATTCAGTCAAATTCTGTGCGGTTACTTAGACGTTGGTTAATTAAGATACAGTCCTGTTGTTCCTCACGATGATACTGAAAAATGAACTTGGTTTGTAAAATAACTTGGCGGCGAACTGGTCGATCGACTACTGTGATTAATTTCGCACCTTTATCGAACTTTATCCCGATAGATAAAACTCCGCCTTTTTAGAATCATTAATAAAACAAAGACGGCTTTCTAAACCGTCGTTTATAAATGTAGCGCTTTGTTTACATTTTTACGTGTTTAAACGTAACGTTGTTTAAGTTTTCGTGTTTAAAAGCAGATAAAATAATTTTCCCTTTTCACGGAATACAGAACCGCATCTCGGCACGTTATTTAACAGCGAAACACTGAAATTGATTTCAGTATTCACAAAACAAGCAAATACGCTGGTTTAAAGAAATGTAAGAGCAGTAACTAAAGGAGCACATCACCTTTATAGGATAGGAACTACTTTAGAAAACTTACCGTGATTATCTACGCAGAGAGGACCCACCCACTGGCCTCCGATACATTTGATTTTGCAGAGGCGCTTTTCACCAAGCGGACCTATTGAACCGGAAAATTTCACTTCACGAATGTGTGTGTAGTCTTTTCGAATTCTAATCTCTCCTTGTTCAGTCTCAGTACCGTTTAAAGCTAAGTGAGGTGGCGGACACGAATCGGATGATGGTTCTGAAAAAAAAAGACATTTTTGAGAACATGAAGCAGTATTTGAAATGATTTAGTTTTTGGAAGCACAGAACAGCCCATAATAAATATAGCAGTAAAACGTTTCTATCTGTCCACTGTAGGTTAAAATTTTAAAACTTTAAATTTATAATGAGAATTGAGAACAGACGAAAAGTGAGAATTAATAAGAAATGAGAAGAAATCAGAAATGTGGTAAATGAGAAATGCGACAAATGAAAAATGTGGGAAATAAGAAACGTGATAAATAAGAAAAGTATGAAATGGGAAAAGCGAGAAAGAGAAACGTGAGAAATGTAAAAGATGAGAAATAAAAACTGATCGAAGATTATTTCGACCGAATTTCCCTTGCTTCTGAAGTACAATAAAACACATCTAGCTTTTCCTTACTTACACTCAGGAAGTACAGTAAAAATAGCTTATTTGATACAGCCTACTTTTTGTATGATGTATATCTCATTTTCGACCAAAAAACTCTACAATATTTCTAAACGATTTATAAAGTTTTTTTGCATTGAAAACAGTAGTAAAAGCCGGTTTTTGAAATTTTCATAAACAAACTGAGATATTAAGAAGATTTGAGAAAAGAAAAAATGGGTAATGAGAAGAAACGAGAAATGAGAACAAATGAGAAATTAGAAGAAATGGCAAACGGGAAACGTGAGAAATGGAAAAAGTGAGAATTGAGAAACGCGAGAAATGAGGAACGTGAGAAACGAGAGAAAATGAGAAATGGGAAGAAACGAGAAATACGAGATATTAGAAATGTGGAAAATGGGACATATGAGAAATCGAAAATGTGAAAAATGGGAAACGTATGAAATTAAAAAAATGGGAAATGTTTAAAATGAGAAACGAGAAGAAATGAGAATTGACAAGAAATAAAAATGTGAGAACTAAGAAATGTGGGAAAGGAGAAACATGAGAAGTGGAAAATGTGACAGTTGGAAAGTGTGAGACAGTCATTAAAAATGCGATAAATCAAAAATTTGGGAAATAAGAAACGCGAGAAATGGGAAGCATGAGAAATGAATAGAAATGAAGAAAAGAAAAAAAAAAGGAAAAAGTAAGAAAAAAGAAAAAGTGAGAAATGAGCAGAAACAAGAAATGAAAACAAATGAAAAATTAGAAGAAATGAGAAACGGGAAACGTAAGAATAGTGGGAAACGTGAGAAATAGAAAAAGTGAGATATGAAAAAAGTGATAAATAAATAGAGATGAAAAAATGAGACATAGGGAACGTGAGAAATGAGAGGAAATGAAAAGTGGGAAGAAACGAGAAACGTGAGATATTGAAAATGTGGAAATTGGGACATATGAAAAATGGAAAATGTGAAAAAGGAGAAACGTGGGAAATGAAAAGAAATAAGAAATGTTTGAAATGAGAAGAAGTGAGAAATGCGAATAAATGAGAAATGTGGGAACTAAGAAATATGGAAAATGACAAGTGAGAAACGTGAGAAATGGAAAATGTGATAAATGGAAAGAGTGAGATATTTGTCATTAAAAATGTGATATATCAAAAATGTCGGAAATAAGAAACGCGAAAAATGGGAAACATGAGAAATGAGACACATGAGGAATGAATAGAAATGAAAAAATTAGAAAAATCAGAAATGAGAAGAAACGAGAAATGAGAACAAATGCGAAATTAGGAGTAATAAGAAGCGGGAAACGTACGAATAATGGGAAACGTGAGAAATAGAAAGTAAGAATTGAGAAACGTGAGAAATAAGGAATATGTGAAATGGGAAACGTGAGAAATAGAAAAAGTGAGAATTGAGAAACATGAGAAATAAGGAACGTGAGGAATGAAAAATGGGAAGAAATGAGAAATGTGATAAATAAGAAATGTGGGAAAAGAGAGAGATGAGAATAGGAAAATGTGTAAAATCGGAACGATATACATTTGTCGTTAAAAATGTGATAAATCAAAAATTGGGAAACGAGAAACTCGAGAAATGTGCTACGTGGGAAATGAAAACAAATGAAAATAATGAGAAAAAACGAGAAATATAAAAAATGAGAAGATGTGAGAAAAGAGAAAAAATGAGAAATGAGAAGAAGCGAGAAATGAGGACAAATGAGAAATTAGAAGAAATGAGAAATGGGAAACGTAAGAATAATGGCAAACGTGAGAAATAGAACAAGTGATAATTGAGAAACGTGATATATAGGGAACGTGAGAAATGAGAGGAAATGAAAAGTGGGAAGAAACGGGAAAAGTGACATATTAGAAATGTGGAAATTGGGACAATGAGAAATGGAAAATGTGAAAAATGAGAAACGTGGGAAATGAAAAGAAATAAGAAATGTTTGAAATGAGAAACGAGAAGAAGTGAGAAATGCGAATAAACGAGAAATGTGGGAACTAAGAAATGTGGAAAATGACAAATGAGAAGCGTGTGAAATGGAAAATGTGATAAATGGAAAGAGTGAGATATTTGTCATTACAAATGTGATATGTCAAAAATGTCGGAAATAAGAAACGCGAGAAATAAGAAACATGAGAAATGAAAAATTGGGAAATGAATAGAAATGAAAAAATGAAAAATGAGAAGGAACGAGAAATGAGAACGAATGAGAAGTTAGAAGCAATAAGAAACGGCAAACGTACAAACAATGGGAAACGTGAGAAATAAGGAATGCGAGAAATGGGAAACGTGAGAAATAGAAAAAGTGAGAATTGAGAAACCTGAGAAATAGGGAACGTTAGGAATGAAAAATGGGAAGAAATGAAAAATGTGATAAATAAGAAATGTGGGAAACGAGAGAGATGAGAATAAGAAAATATGTAAAATGGGAATTTGTCATTAAAAATTTGATAAATCAAAAATTGGGAAACGAGAAACTCGACAAATGAACTACGTGGGAAATGAAAACAAATGAAAATAAGGAGAAAAAACAAGAAATATGAAAAATGAGAAAATGTGGAAAAGAGAAAAAATGAGAAATGAAAAGAAACAAGAAATGAAGACAAATGAGATTTTAGCAGAAATGAGAAATGGGAAACCTAAGAATAATGGGAAACGTAAGACATGGGAAAAGTGAAAATTGAGAAACGTGGGAAATAAGGAACGTGAGAACTGAGAAACCTTAGAAATAGGGAACGTGAGAAATCAGAGGAAATGACAAATAGAAATATGAAAAATGGAAAACGTGAGAAATGAAAAGAAATGTGATATGTTTCAAATGAGAAACGAGAGGAAGTGAGAAATGGGACGAAATGAGAAATGGGAAACTTGAGAAATAGTAAATGGGCTAAATAGGAAATGTGAAACATTTGTCATTAAAAATTATGATAAAACAGAAATATGAGAAATGAGAAACGCGAAAAATGAAAAAGTGAGAAATGTGAGAAATGAGTAAATGCGAGAAAAAAGAAAAAATTACAAATCAGAAGAAAAGAAAAATAAGAATAAATGGGAAATAAGAAGAAATAAGAAATGGGAAACGGAGAATAATGGGAAACATGAGATGTGGAACAAGTGAGAATTGGGAAACGTGAAAAATAACGAATGTGAGCAATGAAAGGAAATTAGAAAAGTGAGAAATAAGAAATTTTTGAAATGACAAATATGAGAAATGAAAAATGTGATAAGTGGGAAATGTGAGAAATTTGTGATTAAAAACGTAATAAATCAGAAATGTGTAAACGTGAGAAATTAGAAACGTAAAAAATGAGAAAACTGGGAAATGGGAATTGTGAAAATTGAGGAACGTGATAAATGACAAATTTGAAATAAGCAATATGTAAGTAACATTTATTGTGCCAAGGACGTTAAAACCATAAACTCGTCAAAAATCAGTATCAAAATATACATATCAAACCAGAAATCAAGATATACGTAATCACAATCAAAATATAAATATCAACTCACATAATCAACGATATATAATTGCACTCCAGATATTCCTGAACATATATGATATTCTTGTGAGAAATAAGAAAACATTTCTCACAAGACAAAACATTTTTATTTTATTTATTTTATTATTAAAACATGGGAAATGTGAAAAACGTGTGAAGTATGAAACATGTGTGAAATATGAGAAATGGAAGTTTAAGAAGTGGAAAGTTGCAAAAGCGAAAGATACGAGAAACGTGAAATGAGAAATTTGAAGCGGGAATGAATTGTGAAAATGAGAAACGACAAATAATAAGAAATATGAGAAATTAGTGGAAACAGGAAATGAGAAGAAATGGTAACTGTGAAAAATGAAAAATGTGAGAAATGGGAAGAAACGAGAGATGAGATATGAGAGATGAGCCATGAAACATGAGAAATGAAGAATAAAAATTTCGATGTACCAATGTTTTTATTGCTAATGAAGATAAATATTATTGACAATTAAGCACCGAGGAGATAAACTGTAAAAATAAATGAGGAAGAAAAATATTACATTATACATAGTAAGTTTGTAAACGAAAAACAAAAAAATTACTTAGCATAAAATTTTAATAATAAATAGTTTAATAAATAAATACGCTTCTTAGGTAGAAAGAAAAACTAAAAAGGAGTAATTTTGATTAACTACTTTATTCCATAATTTCTTATTCTCTATACATATTTTGCTTAATACATTTTCGCACAGGTTTTGAGATTAATTTTAACGATATTTTAGTAATGTGAACTAATGACGTTGTACTGCTTAGCAATACATTAATATTCCAGTTTAAAATATAACCAGTCGGTTGCTGCGTTAAAGAATGTTTCATTATCCGAAGTTAAGACTATCTACAGCCTACAGGTTGTGGAAGGAGAAAGTCTTACAAAATATCTACATGAAATAAATAACATACTTTGCGTTCAACCTTTCTCAAGCTTTTGAAGTAAAGTGTAATAAGGTTCACCTGTTTATACAAAGTACAAACAAATTTCAGGTGTTTACAATGTCTATAAGCGATATTTCCAATATATTTCATAAAATAACTTTATAGAGAATTCCGAGCTTCAGAACTTCACTTCCAGCTTCTGTCCCAA